GGGGGGGGGGGGGGGGGGGGGGGATTAGTCAAGTGGGATGCTGTACTGAGGAACTAGAGCACTATTAGATTGGGATGTGGTATGGGGAATGGAGAGCAGTGTGGAAGGGGCATCCAGTGCAGAGGAATTCTGACACCAGGAGATCTATCCCTATATCTACTGGTACTCCACAGGTTATTACTCCACTTATAGGTAATTAATGAATGGCTGGTTCCTAAAAGTTCTAGGTTCCTTAAAAATCGTACATGTGAAACAAGAGTTGTACGTCTTACAAATAAAAGGTATTAATTTATTTCCATAATGGGGATCACCATCTAAAGAAAACCTTTGCACATACATGTACAATGTTCATGCTCATAGATCATAACCCAGTTGTTGAAGCTGGTCTACTTATATCAGAAATATACTCTCTATTATTTACAATATTTACATTATTTACATTGGTCATTATAGTATAGGATACTTTTTTTGCAGCCACAACAAGTCACGAAGTGAACATACAATGGCCATGTAGGATAGGACAGACACTGGAGCCTCGACATGTCACTGGGGAGATATACAATGGCCGTATAAAGGATACAACAGACACTGGAGCCTCGACATGTCACTAGGGAGATATACAATGGCCCTGTAGGATAGGACAGACTCTGATGCCTCAACATGTCACTAGGGAGATATACAATGGCCCTGTAGGATATGACAGACTCTGGAGCCTAAACATGTCTCTAGGGGGGAAAATGTAGGGTTAATGAGGATAACCACACAGATCATACAGGACCAAACATCAAATGTATTACATTCTCCATACCTACTTGAGGCACTTGTCAGTCACTGAACCAGAAACTCACTATCTCCTGTCAATAGTTGTCTCTATGTTACAATGGATGAATGAGAACATTCTGGTAATTGAAACAAGCAGGAAACAATTTATACACTTGATACTATATGATACACCTGGTACATACACTTCATGACAACTCCAAATCAGCACAACTCAGACCTTCCAGGATCTACGTTTTTACTGTACACATCACCACGATTTCCCAAGTGGCTGTCCAATTGGTGGTTAACACTTGACAACAACTAGAGCAGAAACTTCACTTCCAGACATCTCCTCGCCATCTCCCACAGACCTCCACAGTAGGAATGGACAGACGCACACATAGGAGTTCTCTATTAGCAGAATGACAGCATAGATATATTTAATAGGTATCGCCATACTTACTGTAATGTCTACTTTTTTTGTGATTTGATGTAAGAGACATCTGTGAGCAAAGTGTACCATGATCTGATGATAAAGTTGTCAACTAGAAAGTCATATCAATGACAACTATCGGCTAACCTTGGACATTAAAAGTAACATTTAAAGCTGTAGAATTTAGAAATGTAAAATTTCCACGGTGACCTTGACATTCCACCAACTTGCCTTGAAAGCAAGCCCATGAAGCATCATGTAATAAACAAACATTGCATGATAACAGATGTCTGTCGGACCTGTTATTTTAGAGGTACTGGAAAATAAAGCTGAATAATTTCTATCTTAATTTTTGACCTGTTGTTTTTTAGTGTATTTTCTGAATAACCATGTAAATAAAAAAAATTAAAAAGGGAAGTGTGACAGATATACAAAAGAATACACTTCCCAAAAGGGAGAGAAGATATAATTGTGCTGAACCTAGTTCTAACTGGTTCTGTAGGTGGCTCAATGACCTGTCTTACCTCACAAACACAGATGGTACAGAAGTTCTGTTGCCAGGTGTCTCCGTCGTCATAGACAACTCCATCTACAATGCATTGTGGGTAACAGACACACTGATCGAGTGACTTGAGGGCTTCCTTCAGGTACATATTCTGTAACATTAATACACATATAATGTATAAGTCTAGAACAAAGACTGGAAAGATTACAATCATGAAATGCTGCTCTTTATGAGGAGTTTATGTCTTTGTTACAATTAAGGTCCTTTTTTTGTCTGTAAATAATATCTATTTAGGGCATAGTGACCTCTATTTCCAGGTTGTTGACAATCTCCTGAATGTCTGGCTCGTCTCCATAGCGATACTTGGCACTGGCCTTGTCCTTAGAGGTGATGCTCTCGTCCCGCTGCATAGCTGAGGACAAACAAGAAACCATGGATTTTAACTATCAATGCTCAAAACAGTTGGACAATGTGTTCCAACAATTGATGTTTTAACAAATGATGGTACGGTCCCAAAACATGCGCTGCTGTAGCTAACAAATGATGGTACGGTCCCAAACCATGCGCTGCTATAGCTAACAAATGATGGTATGGTCCGAAAACATGCGTTTCTGTAGCTAACAAATGATGGTATGGTCCGAAAACATGCGTTTCTGTAGCTAACAAATGATGGTACTGTCCCAAAACATGCGCTGCTGTAGCTACCAAATGATGGTACGGTCCCAAAACATGTGCTGCTGCAGCTAACAAATGATGGTACGGTTCCAAAACATGCGCTGCTGTAGCTAACAAATGATGGTACGGTGCCAAAACATGCACTGCTGTAGCTAACAAATGATGGTACAGTCCCAAAACATGCGCTGCTGTAGCTAACAAATGATGGTATGGTCCCAAAACATGCGTTGCTGTAGCTAACAAATGATGGTACGGTCCCAAAACATGCGCTGCTGTAGCTAACAAATTTCTGAAGACTGAGAGAGCTTTATGTTCATAAAGCAATATCACTACATGTAAAGGACCATAACAGCACTATTAAACCATGTATTACTAATGTTTGGATAGAGAAGTCATGCTTTGTCTACTTATTTCACTCTTCTAACATCACTTACACAAGGTCTAGGAACACTAATGTCAGTGCTTTCATAATCAGCTTGTTGACATCACAATAGCGGCACCTGACCAAATGGTTTAACGTCACACTTATTGTACTCTTTCTACATTAAACTTGCCATGGACAATGCAAATGTAAATATACCATTGTGGATACAAACTATATGGTGATTCTAGCATGAAAGCCAGGTCATAATGAGGCAGTGCATGACTTAAACAACGAAATCCCAGAGGGATCAATACTAGCACCTACCATTAGTAAGATCTTCATTACTTCTATGTCAAAATCCAAGACAGCTGCCTGATAACCATATTATTTTTCCAATTTTTCTCAAAATGAAATATGCACAACTAAATAAAGACCTAATGGAACCTTTCCAATCAGTCTCAAAATAAAACATGGGGATCCATCTTATGAACTTTGAGACAGATGCATAATTATAGGGCTGTTGACCATTAAATGTGTTGCCTGAAACATATACCATAAAAATATTTTCCTGTTAACGTTTTGAATTTTTTTCCTGTTCAAGTTTGTGAAATAAATGCACAATGTAGTACTGTAATTAGCATGATTGCACTAACCTGTGATTGGTCAGCTGTTTATTACACAGACATTTTAAGCAATCAACGATCCCTACATTCCATCATAGAATACATCGGTCATTAACATGTGTGGCCAAAGGAGACTCTTTGTCAGGACTGAGGCCCAGGACCTTTGCCCTGCTATCTCTCCCTTTGTGATAAGGAACATGAAGGTATCAAAGCTGTAACTTGTACTGGGGGTTAATTGGGAGCATCCCTTTATTAGCTCTGTATTGATGTAGGTAATTAGGGAGAGACAGGTGAGAGGCAACGTCAACAGGGAGAGCACCTGTCCAACTTCACAACATCACAATCAGCCTCAACACAAAGTGCAACACGGAGAACAACGTTATTACTCTCAAGTTTTAATTCTAGGTTTGTTGGGTGCTTCATATCATAAACAAAACAAACTGCTCACTCTATAACAAGATGCTACACAGATATCACAAGGTGAAATGCTGTGATCTATGGATCCGGGATGAAGAAGATTTCAATGAAATATTCCCCGAAACGTAAGACAAGACAAGCACCAAGCTGAACGTTTACATCTCCCTACCTTCTAACAGATTGTAGTTTGTGATGACCTTTTAGATCTAGAGCCCAGGGACCTGAAATTCTACTATGATTTCTCTCCTCTTTGTATCAAGTTTTAACCAGTTAAAATCCTTGATGATTTGCCAATACCCCAGTTATAAAACACATTAATTTTGTCTTACCGTATAATTTTGCTGTCATGTTGAATTATACCACTCTTGATTACATTCAGTGTATACAAATTAATCTATATTTTGTTACTATTTCAAACCCCTTCCAGGTTAAAGTTTGAAGATGTAAAGAATGCCTGATCATCTGAAGAACAGAAGGTTTCATTTTCAAACAATTTAAAAGAACTTTTCATATGTGTTTTGGTTCCTCCGCTACGGTATACCTGTTAGGTAGGAGTGAATACTTCTCAGACCAGGTACAATCAATGCCAGGCATGCTATATAAGAATCTGTGGATGTAAAAGACAGCATCTACCCTAACAGAGCCATATTACACTAAGTCTTTTTATAATGTACAGACTTTTCTTACCATAGCTGACAGAGCCATATAACACCAAGTCTTTTTATAATGTACAGACTTTTCTTACCGTAGCTGACAGCGCCATATAACACCAAGTCTTTTTATAATGTACAGACTTTTCTTACCATAGCTGACAGAGCCATATAACACCAAGTCTTTTTATAATGTACCAACTTTTTTTACCGTAGCTGACAGCGCCATATAACACTTTTTTATAATGTACAGATTCTTTTGATTCTAACAATAAGTTATCAATAATCATTTAGAATTTTTTAAATATACTTAGTAAGAAACAAAAATTACATTTGTGTAATGAAAGGTTGGCAGATAAATGAAATAGTAACAGCAAATAAAATAGTAACTGTCTGACAATGTAGATTGTTGTCTGGGAAGTCGAAGAATTGTTAAACGAGCCTAAAGATGTCCAATTTATATGACATCCACTGTCAGCCTTATCTGACTACACTGACTTGGATTAACAGATAATTAAAATCAAGATTAGGTGCAGCACAACTTAGCAGATCCCCCACATCAGTGCACGGACAGGAGAACTGGTACAGCCTATCATTCCAGTTCAGCAACACCGGATCTCAGCCATTAATCACCAAATATAAAACACCATCTGGACAGTGTTCAGTGGTTTATTCCTCCTCATCTGGTTGTTCAGACAACTTTCATATAATGTAAAATCAATTAGACCAAATACCCGAAACTCGCACAACTCAGCCAATCACCAAGTGTTTCATACGTTTGTATATCTGAAATAAGTTCCAGCTAATTACTGGGCCACTGAGGGGGTTGATAAGCAACTGATGACAGATTTTTAGATAAATAAAATGTTCAGGTATTTAACTTTTGAAAAATATATACTTTTGATATATTTCCATGTCTGTGTGCGGATTTGCAAAGGGGCAAAATGTCTGGGGGCGTTTCTGTTTTGGGTCACTGGTTTTGCTTGTAAACTTCCGGTTGTCAACTTCTTGGCGCTGTGACACGCCAATATGCCACTAAACCTACCAAAAAAGTAATTTTGTAGCCTTTGCAAGGTATGTATTTATGAATCTAGACAGTTGTCACTAGTTTTAAACTTCAAATATTAAAGTTATTAGCTAAAATGTTTGGTAATAACATAAAGTAAATGATTTAGTTGTGCGAGTCCTTTAAGAGGAAATGAGACATTTTAATTTTTTTAATAGGTACTGATGAAGGAATGTCCAAACTATCATATATTCTCATAGTACAGAGGAAAATGAACAGCCGCTGAGTGAAGGGTACAGGTGAGTTCCTTCCATTAGACAACCACCACTGTCAATACCATTTCAACAATTTTGGTGAAGTGAATAATGTAAACATCAAGAAAAGTTAAAATGGAATGAATTCAAAACATGAGCCCTAAACATTGAATAAAAAAAGTAAAAACAAAGTAAACAAAGTCTCAGATAGAAACTACCCCCTCCCTTAAAGTGCCAAAGTTTGACCTTTGAACTATTTAACCTTGATTGATGATCTTTAAGTGTGACCTTTGAGTGATGATCTTCAAGTGTGACCTTGAACTATTTAACCTTGACTGATGATCTTTAAAATGTGATAAAGTATAAAACTTATTATTATTGTAGTTTGGTGTAAATATGTACTAAATATGTTGAGTGGTTTGCAAGATATGTACTCAAGCATATTAATTACTACAGCCACATGTCAGGTGGGCAGTGCAGTCACACATGGACGTGCAGACACACATGCTGACAAAGCGATATACTTCCCTCCAATAAGTTGGGGGTGTAATAAGACATTGGTTTCTAGTCTTTAGTGTTGTGGTGTTGAGGTACCTGAACAGGTGAAAGATTAAAATGAGTGCCTCTACTATTGCCCTGCCTAACCCCTACAGACACTAAAAGCATTAACGGTTAAACCATTACAAATTGGGAGTATTTATTGATGGAATGCACACCTTAGACAGCCATGGATATGGGTATTAAGGGTATAATGGTTTAGCCATTACAATTTGTCGGTCCATTGATAGTATACCTTGATACTGTGTACAGGTCCGGGGCTTCCTCGTGATGTAGGCAAACAGCTTCGCATCAAACAGTAAACCCTGCAAACAGTTCATCGAATATTGAGAAAAACATGGCAGAAAACTTCAGTGTACAGAGTGTGGATGTCGATTCTATCAACACCAACTGCTGGACTCAATGTTGCACTCAAGGCAAAGGCTGGTTAGCTTGTTCAGGGAGCTTTAACATAACTAAATAGAGAGGAAATATCACATTCAATTTTCAAATTAAAAAAAATAACTTTATGCACATTAGTAATTTCTTATACATACTGACAGCTGTTAATCCGTCATTAGAACTTAACTGAAAATATTTCTTTTTTCCTGTTCAGGGTAACCAGGATTTGATGAACTGCCCAGATGTTTACATGTTGCACAAACAGCAAATTCTTTAAAGTAGATATTATAAAGGCTATCATATACCTGATGTGTAAGTGATCGCTTGTAAGATTTAATTAAACTTCCCAAGTTACATGGTCTTATTTTATATAAAAAGTGATTTTCACGTTAAAATCTGCTGATGCAATATAAAGTCTCGAACACCTGGTAAATATTTTGTCTATATACGATAACAAAACCGATTACATAACTGCATCACCACAGACATGTGTTATATTAGAATGTAACTACACAATATCATCCAGTAAAATGAAAACATTGGAAATTGATCAACTTGGGTTAAATTTCAATCTGGTGTGTATACATGATGAATATTTACACAATATAACAGTTTGTATGAGAAAAACTTGTAATACATCAAAACTTGCATGAATAATTAATTAAAGTTGAATACTCACAAAATCTATGAATTTATAAAAATATATATTATTCATACAATCTTACCATTTGTCAAAAACAAGTGTACTAGGTACTTGTTAAGGACCTTTTGTAGGTTATACATGAATTTGTGTTGATAAGGAAAACTAGGTGTCAAAGAAAGGTCTCTGCAGGTACCGGCAAATAGTACATAAAACTCCTAAACTCCAACAGCTCACACAGAGCAAATCTAGACAGATATGCGTCAAGTGAGCCACACAATAACCAGCAATTGTCTCAGTCCAAATTTGGTACATTTTTTATCTTTCAACTAATCTTTGACTTCGTAACCATACGAGACCACATTGCATGAGTAATGCGGAACATATGTATATGGTTACCAAAGTTGGCTACCAAATGCAACACGAAAATAAATAAATTGCAAATGCCAACCAGATTCAAAGCGGGAACCTCCGAAATGTAGACAGATACACTAACCAACTAAATGGCTTGGCCCATCTTGACACATCACCGTAACAACCGCTTTAATTGGGCCGGTAAACACTGTCACTAGGTGTTATGCCAATGGAACAATGCTTTTTTTAAGGCTCAATAAAGATTCTGCTTGTCACATTTTGCTTGGTTGCATGCTTTGCGATCTGCTCAATCATTGAATGGGGCTGTTTTGGTAGCAATAGTTTGATGGTCTGGGACATTATTTCTGGTAGTAAATGTACCAGTCTTCTTGTAGTGCCCAAGGATTTGCATGGGTGCGTTATCAAGACGAAATTTTAGGCCAGTGGCACTCCTGTTTAGTGCAAAGTCATGGCGCTGGTACCAGTTTTCAACAAGATAATGAGCCTGCTCATAAAATTTGTGTCAGCAGATCTTTCCTGCACAAAACTATCTTCATGAACTTTTGGATTGGCCATATAAAATACCCAAGATGTCGCACATAGATCATGGCCGGGTTGTTTTTGGGCGAGTCAAAACAGCCATCTAACTTGCAGGAGCTTGGGCAAGCATTGACTAATGAATGAGACAAAATCCTCGCCCATTACCATACGTTTACAAGTTCAATGCGACAAAAGCTGCCACACTTTTGCACAAATGGTGGCTCAGTACTAAGCATGTACGAAAATGGACTTACCCTGTGTTAATTTCTGATAATATCAATTAAGCACATCATTTTTTCTAGATTTATGACAACTAAATAAAGCAACCTTTCAATGTATATATATTGATACAAAGGTGAATAAAATCTCAACAAAAATGATCTTGGCTTAATAATGCTGTTTACCTTTTTTGGACTGAGTGTATGTTAAGTAAGATATCAAATCATCATTTGGTTTCTATGTTGCACCCAGTATGTTAGAGGTACCTTGCTCAGTGAGGTCAGTGTTAATGGGAAGTTGATGCTACGGAGCAAGGTGTCCTGATGTATAGCCAATCACACAGCACGCTGAATTGATGTAGTTTTATATCTGTAACATACCTACTAACACTTGAAGATACCCTCCCCTGATTTATCTCGTTATATCCTTACACAGCAGTAATGCAGTGCTGCACAGGTCAAGGTGACAGACTCTCAATGTGAGCTACCACTAAACATGCCAAATCTTGGTGATAAACCAGGGTACAACTCCTAAATAAATAAATATATTTACAGTTTTTATACTGAGAAATGTTACAGGTCTGTTTCCATGATCTATTTGTTCAGCAATTTGTAAGAAACCCATTTTCTACACACTTGTATCAAATTACTTGCTGCATTTGCTAAGTAAATGGACCTAAACCATCAATGTTTACTGATGAAATCATGTAAAGAATGTTCTAAGTAGTAATCTGATTATTTAAGTTTCATAGCAGCAAGAAACCTCTGGCATTTTAAACTATGTCTTTGATAGAAGAACCATAATGAATGAATCATAATACACTGATATAGTTACAATATCTGGGATATCTTCTTTGTATTTGTCTGGTTTTTTTTCTTATGATTAAAATAAAAATAATGCATAATTACTCATTACTTTTGATAATTGGGGTTGTTATCAGTAAGTAGAGATTGTAAGCATCATACTAACCACACACTTGTCAGTAAACATTGTACAACCTTGGACCTATAGGTACAGACATGTCAGTAAACATTGTACAACCTTGGACCTATAGGTACAGACTTATCAGTAAACATTGTACAACCTTGGACCTATAGGTACACACTTGTCAGTAAACATTGTACACCCTTGGACCTATAGGTACAGACTTATCAGTAATCATTGTACAACCTTGGACCTATAGGTACACACTTGTCAGTAAACATTGTACAACCTTGGACCTATATGTAGACTTGTCAGTAAACATTGTACAACCTTGGACCTATAGGTACAGACTTGCAAGTGACCATTCATTGCTCAAGGTCATTTGGTACATGCAGCAGCTCCATTAAGTAACAAACACGTTTCCCAGCCACACTCATTAACTCCTGATTGACAGTGTCAGAACATGAGAATATAACTACAAAAGTGCATTCACATTGTGAATTTCTGACTGAAGGGATGAGACATCAGAAATCCATTATACAGGTCAATAATGATATTCTGAAGGACAATGTGACCTAATTATATAACAACTCTGATGGAATCCCTACATCTGTACCAATTCTAAGAGATATTATAATAAACAAACACTCTTGTGAATGATGTAACAATCTAAAATATTAATGTGTCTTATTCTAAAAAGATCATTTACATCCTTCTTTTCTAATTATTTCAAAGAGTATCCATTATAGAGTGTTCCTTTCAATAACAAAGCTTGACCACATATACTTACCGTAAATTTTTGGGACTTCCTGGGATCACTGAGAGAGACCTTGGCGGTAGAAGGAATCTTCATCATGGGCTGAGAAAGCTGTATCACATGTTCAGCTTCACAGCCATGTCGCAAAACCAATGACGTTTGATTAACATGTAGTAAAACACTGAAAAACTTCATCACAGGGGCAGATAACTCTACCTCCTTCCTCTGGAATGATACTTTACCCTGATACCTCACAATAAACTTGCGACTTTTCATATTGATAGATACTTCTAGAATGGGTAATAATTTCTTGTGATGATATATGGACAGTAGAGGCACTGACTTTAGTCCCTGGTCACTCTGGCCTGATATATAATAACTCAAGTCTCCTCTGTATTTCCGCCAAAACTTTCGTACTGCTTTACTTTTAAGGATTTTTGGGTCCCACTTGTCTGTTAGTTTAAATCCCTTGGGAGTAAGTTTTTCCACTCCTGGACTGTCTTTCACTTTCCGTATTAAACGCACAAAATCCATCTCTGAAAATACAAAACAAAAATCATTATTAGATCTTATACAGCAAAATGAAAGTGGATATACATTTTCATTTTACTAATAAACTGTTTCAAAGGTTATGATAGGGGATACAAAAGCTTTCCAGAAGATTTTCTTCTCTCGCAGGAGAGGAGTCTTGGGAAAAGGAAGGGCGTAATAGCTAGGTCTTCAAAAGGATATCTTTAGGAATTCATTGAATCAAGACCAATTTGTTTGTTTGAGTAGGGTACAAGAGTATTCAACTCTTCAGTATTAAACTCCTCAGTATTCAACTCCTCAGTATTCAACTCCACAGTAGTCAACTCCTCAGTAGTCAACTCCACAGTAATCAACTCCTCAGTAATCAACTCCTCAGTAATCAACTCCTCAGTATTCAACTCCACAGTAGTCAACTCCTCAGTAATCAACTCCTCAGTAATCAACTCCTCAGTAGTCAACTCCTCAGTAATCAACTCCTCAGTAGTAAACTCCACAGTAATCAACTCCACAGTAATTAACTCCTCAGTATTCAACTCCTCAGTAATCAACTCCTCAGTAGTCAACTCCTCAGTATTCAACTCCACAGTAGTCAACTCCTCAGTAATCAACTCCTCAGTAATCAACTCCTCGGTAATAAACTCATCGGTAGTCAACTCCTCGGTAGTCAACTCCTCAGTAATCAACTCCTCAGTAATCAACTCCTCAGTAGTCAACTCCTCAGTATTCAACTCTTCAGTAGTCAACTCCACAGTAATCAACTCCACAGTAATCAACTCCTCATTAATCAACTCCTCAGTAGTCAACTCCTCAGTATTCAACTCCTCAGTTGTCAACTCCTCAGTAGTCACCTCCTCAGTATTCAACTCCTCAGTAATCAACTCCACAGTAATCAACTCCTCAGTAGTCAACTCCTCAGTAGTCAACTCCTCAGTAGTCAACTCCTCAGTAATCAACTCCACAGTAATCAACTCCTCAGTAATCAACTCCTCAGTAGTCAACTCCTCAGTATTCAACTCCTCAGTAGTCAACTCCTCAGTAGTCAACTCCTCAGTAATCAACTCCTCAGTAGTCAACTCCACAGTAATCAACTCCTCAGTAGTCAACTCCTCAGTAGTCAACTCCTCAGTAGTCAACTCCTCAGTAATCAACTCCACAGTATTCAACTCCTCAGTAATCAACTCCTCAGTAGTCAACTCCTCAGTATTCAACTCCTCAGTAATCAACGCCTCAGTATTCAACTCCTCAGTAATCAACTCCTCAGTAATCAACTCCACAGTATTCAACTCCTCATTAATCAACTCCTCAGTAGTCAACTCCTCAGTAATCAACTCCTCAGTTGTCAACTCCTCAGTAGTCAACTCCTCAGTATTCAACTCCTCAGTAATCAACTCCACAGTAATCAACTCCTCAGTAATCAACTCCTCAGTAATCAACTCCACAGTATTCAACTCCTCAGTAGTCAACTCCTCAGTAATCAACTCCTCAGTATTCAACTCCTCAGTAGTCAACTCCGCAGTAATCAACTCCTCAGTAATCAACTCATCAGTAATCAACTCCTCAGTAATAAACTCCACAGTAATCACCTCCTCAGTAATCAACTCTTCAGTAATCGACTCCTCAGTAGTCAACTCATCAGTAATCAACTCCTCAGTAATAAACTCCTCAGTAATCAACTCTTCAGTAATCAGCTCCTCAGTAGTCAACTCCGCAGTAATCAACTCCTCAGTAATAAACTCTTCAGAAATCAACTCCTAAGTAGTCAACTCCTCAGTAATCAACTCCTCAGTAATCAACTCCTCAGTAATCAACTCTTCAGTAATCAACTCCTCAGTAGTCAACTCCTCAGTAGTCAACTCCTCAGTATTCAACTCACTGGGTTATCAGGACCTATAATGACCTGTTTGGTGTATTTAGATGCATTTGTTAAAAAATGACAAAACCTTTTCTCGAGTAGGAGCTACCTCTTGAATAAGTCCTTGAGATATAACATATTTACTCCAGAAGTTGCACTTCTCAAGGATTCCCATAAAGTACTCCGGCACAGACTGATCAATGATAAGATACTCACTGTGGAGCTTGAGTGTTTTTACAGAAAAAAACTGTAAATCTACACATATCAAACATAAGGTTTACAACCTGAACATAAGTCCATGAAACTACAGTCCATTACATTAAGACCTTAGACAGGTAACTAAAGATGTGTATCACACCCCATGATGAGTAGACTCTTGGAGCTATCCCGGTTATACCACTTCTGAATCCTAATCTACCTAATTACCGTCCCTTCCTCTGAATCCAACATAATTAGAGACATGTATAAGATATATAGTAACATACTATACTACCTTTATATGGTCTCTGGACCCTGTCCTCTCTACAGACCCTCAAAAATCCCAGTACAAGTTGGATCCTGACACCTACTATGGTACACAACCCCTGTAGACCCTAACATCAGTACAGGGGTGGTTTTTATATTTACTATGGAACACAACCCCTGTAGACCCTAACATCAGTACAGGGGTGATTTTTATATTTACTATGGTACACAACCCCTGTAGGCCCTAACATCAGTACAGGGGTGGTTTTTATATTTACTATGGTACACAACCCCTGCAGACCCTAACATCAGTACAGGGGTAGTTTTTATATTTACTGTGGTACACAACCCCTACAGACCCTAACATCAGTACAGGGGGAGTTTTTATATTTACTATGGTACACAACCCCTACAGACCTAACATCAGTACAGGGGAAGTTTTTATATTTACTGTGGTACACAACCCCTACCGACCCTAACATCAGTACAGGGGTGGTTTTTAAATTTACTATGGTACACAACCCCTGTAGACCCTAACATCAGTACAGGGGTGATTTTTATATTTACTATGGTACACAACCCCTGTAGGCCCTAACATCAGTACAGGGGTGGTTTTTATATTTACCGTGGTACACAACCCCTACCGACCCTAACATCAGTACAGGGGTGGTTTTTATATTTACTATGGAACACAACCCCTACAGACCCTAACATCAGTACAGGGGTGGTTTTTATATTTACTGTGGTACACAACCCCTACCGACCCTAACATCAGTACAGGGGTAGTTTTTACATTTACTATGGTACACGACCTCTACAGACCCTAACATCAGTACAGGGTTGTTTTTATATTTACTATGGTACCCGACCTCTGCAGACCCAAACATCAGTACAGGGGGGGATTTTATATTTACTATGGAACACAACCCCTACAGACCCTAACATCAATACAGGGGTAGTTTTTATATTTAATATGGTACATGACCTCTACAGACCCTAACATCAGTACAGGGGTGGTTTTTAATTTTACTATAGTACATGACCTCTACAGACCCTAACATCAGTACAGGGGTGGTTTTTATATTTACTATGGTACACGACCTCTGCAGACCCAAACATCAGTACAGGGGTGGTTTTTATATTTACTATGGAACACAACCCCTACAGACCCTAACATCAGTACAGGGGTGGTTTTTGTATTTACTATGGTACACAACCCCTACAGACCCTAACATCAGTACAGGGGTAGTTTTTATATTTACTATGGTACACAACCCCTACAGACCCTAACATCAATACAGGGGTAGTTTTTATATTTAATATGGTACATGACCTCTACAGACCCTAACATCAGTGCAGGGGTGGTTTTTACATTTACTATGGTACACGACCCCTACATACCCTAACATCAGTACAGGGTGGTTTTACATTTACTATGGTACACGACCCCTACAGACCCTAACATCAGTACAGGGGTGGTTTTTATATTTACTATGGAACACAACCCCTACAGACCCTAACATCAATACAGGGGTAGTTTTTATATTTAATTTGGTAGATGACCTCTACAGACCCTAACATCAGTGCAGCGGTGGTTTTTACATTTACTATGGTACATGACCACTACAGACCCTAACATCAGTACAGGGTTGTTTTTACATTTACTATGGTACATGACCACTACAGACCCTAACATCAGTACAGGGTTGTTTTTATATTTACTATGGTACCCGACCCCTACAGACCCTAACATCAGTACAGGGGTGGTTTTTATATTTACTGTGGTATACAACCCCTACCGACCCTAACATCAGTACAGGGGTAGTTTTTATATTTACTATGGTACACGACCTCTTCAGACCCTAACATCAGTACAGTGTGGTTTTTACATTTACTATGGTACACGTCCCCTACATCCCCTAACATCAGTACAGGGTGGTTTTACATTTACTATGGTACACGCCCCCTACAGACCCTAACATCAGTACAGGGGTGGTTTTTATATTTACTATGGTACATGATCTCTACAGACCCTAACATCAGTACAGGGGTGGTTTTTATATTTACTGTGGTACACAACCCCTACCGACCCTAACATCAGTACAGGGGTAGTTTTTATATTTACTATGGTACACGACCTCTACAGACCCTAACACCAGTACAGGGTGGTTTTTACATTTACTATGGTACACGACCCCTACAGACTGGCATCAACAGTACAGGTGTGATACTTACATCATTTACCTAAAAGCTAACCCCACTTGAAAAACCAATAAAGACCAGCTTGCCATCAGCTGAACACAACTATACTGTGAAGGTATGGAGTATCTTAATGTTCTACATCTAACCTTCAACTTACACCCTCCCATTTAAATCAAAAGGTACTCTTCTCAGAGTACAAAATATTCCAACAAGCGGAGGCTAGTACTTTAATGTGCAACAGGAAAGAGTGATAAAAGGGTACATGGCTTCGCTGTGGATCAAACCAACAATCCAACCTTTCTTGTCAAACACTTCACTAATGACATAAGGTAAAATCTCTCTAGTTGTACCTAATGAGGTAGTGTTGGCACCATGTACACAATACCCATCTTTACAGATCGTTTAATGGAAGACGGTTCCTAAAATGTATACAGTACTAATTCAAGATAGATTTCTAGTCTTTGTTTCACCTATTATACAAACATT